TCTGGAGCATAAACTCTTGTGAACTGGAGTTTTATCTGCCATACACTACCATCTTTACCAGGGACCGGGCAGAGTGCCCTGTGCACAGTGCTTTTAATAAATACACGCTGAATGAATGAACGGTAACTGGTGGAAATAGATACAGTGTTTCCATTCTGCCACCTCCAATTCACTTACTACCAAGCTGTGATGTCAATGGATGTCAACATTAACCACTTTCTTATGTCTGTTCCCCAGTTCTTCCTATGGCAGCCAGAAGGCAAATCGGTTCCTAGATTCCTCCATTTGTGACACATCTGAAGGAAGTAAATTAGTCAAGAATAGGACCACGTTTGTCTTCTAAAGGAAAGATATCAAAACAAAATAAATTTCACTTTCTCTCCAGCCCTGGAAATCTGGACTCTGAGGCATGAGCGATGGTTAAGAGGGGGCTCAGCAAAATGCACTGGCTTTCCAGGCTTCTCTCTGCACTGTCATCAAGAGTTTTGGGTGGATGGTATCTGCTAAGTGTTTTTTTTTTTTTTTTTCCAGCCCACGTATATGATTTCTTTAGTAGACATGGCCTTTTCATTAATCTTCCAGATAAAACTATCCAGTATGTTTAAATACGATTTACAAGCAGAACACTAAAAAGTTTATCTTCACCGTGTTCTATGGTATCATTTCCTCAAAATAGAACCCTCCTAAAGTCTCCTAAAAATAAGCCTGCTATAGTTTCATTTTCTGAGGAGAAAAACACATGAAAACACACACTTGGCTTCTTTCTGAAGTCTTTCTGTTACATGGGGTTCAAAGATCAAAGTCTAAAAGGTCCAGTTTCTTCACTTTATAGGTCAGTGACACAGCTTTGCAAAAGAGGAAAACAGGGCCCCGGTGCAGGCAGCACTACAGTAGAAAGAGGAAGCAAGTTACTGAGAATCACTGACAAAGACAGCGCTGCCAGAGGAAATTACAAAACAACGAAGGCCAAGCAGGAGACAGATTCCTCACTCACAACAGCAACCAGCCTCTGGGTAGCCGAAAGGGACAAAGGTCAGAATTGCAAACCAACATGGAATTGTGGCTATACCGTTCTGAAACTTAAAACTAAACTTTAAAACACTCTGCAACTGAAATAACATGTTCTTAATACAGTGTACTAAAGTCTCCCCAGGTCCGGGGCCCTTCCACAGGAGGTGTCATGGGGTGGTCAACTCTCCACCTTATTTTTTTTTGTTTGTTTGGTTCGTTGATTGGTTGGTTTTTACCTTGGCAACAAGCAAGAACACACACTTTCCCATAAAAGGTTCAGACATAGAGACTCACCCTCTCTGCTGGAGCAGGGGTTTCATGCAGGAGAAAGGACGGAGTGTGGGGACCCCGCTAACAGAGGCATGATAAATAGGGGTTCCTGGTAACTCCTAGGGTCCTCCCGATCTCTCAGGAGAGGGAACTGAGGGAAGTCACTCCTAACTACAGTACCCTTCAGGCAAACTTAACCTGGTAAAGAAACTGTAAACTTTTCACCTCACAACCACATCTGGTCCTTCATGCTACTTTAATGGCTGAGGCAAGGGAACCTGAGATAGCTACCATCCTCCCAGGCACACAGCATTGAGCAAGAGCTTCCTCTTTTGTGAAAATGCTATCTCTCTTGCCGTTTGTGCTACTTCAGGCTTTCTAAGCAACGAACCGGCAGCTACCCCAACAGGACACTTTTGCTTGGCCTCCCGTGTGTCCTTCTGATGCTGAAACTGCCACTGTTTGGGGGGTGGGGGGCGGGCCAAATATGCTTCTCATGAGAAAGAAAGAAAAATTCAGGGCAGTTTGAAGAAAAGAAGCGTGATAACGCACAGAGACTGAGGCCTCTCCACCTGTCGCTGCTAATTAGCCTTGCGCCACCTGTGATCTGAGACCAGTCTTTAATCTCTTCAAACACTAGGTTCTTCACCAATGAAAGGATGGAGCTACATCAGCCATCCTCATCCTGGCTACACTTACGATCACCTGAAGAACCAAAACAAACAAACAGGCTGATGCTAGATTATACCAAATTCTCTAGGCACTAGGCTTTTTCAGTTGTTCCCAGGTGATTCGAAGAAGCCAACCTGTGCTGGATATGACTGGTTTAAATTCCAATTTCCAAGACATCTTCTCTAATTTTTTAAAATTCTGTAATTTCGGTTTTTTTGAGACAGTCTTTCTATTGATTATGTAGTCCTGGAAATAGCCATGTAGACCAGGCTGGCCCCAAACTCCTAGAGACTGCCTGCCTCTGCTGTGATTACAGGCATCGACCATTAAGCCCCGGCTTCATTCCGTAATCTTAAAGTGATAATTCCAGTTACAGAATCACATAATGTTCAGGCCCAAATAGCCACAAAAGTAGCTCTCAGGCTCTGCATACCTGCCCTGTATGCAAACGTCTGCAGGTTAACCTGAATTCTAGACATTTTTAGAAGCTAAAAAAATTCCAAAGTGTAGCTCAGAATGAAAGTGATGTGGTTAAAGTGCAGGTTTCCAAAATGACTACTCCTCACAGGCGTCAGCTCCTGAGCTCAGGCGCATGGAAGTGGGTCGCTTCTCGCTTCTGACCTGTCCCCCTTACCTCTTCTTCCAGCTCCACTAAATCAGCAAACCAAAAAGGCTGGCCATTAATCATAGCCCGTACATAAAACCAGCCTCCTGTTCAAAGGGCCTTCTCTCTCCATCATTAAAAATAGGGAAGTTCCTGCATGGCCGCTTCCTTTGACGAAGGTCATTTTACAAAAACTTCAACTAAATTATACTCCTTCAAGTCTTCAAGGGTCGCTTGACACATATACTTGGAATTAAAGTAAAAGTAATCATAAAATGTATGCCCTGAATTAAAGCCTTGACATGTTCTATTTTCAGTATTTCATATGGCTTTGACCAAAAAGAGATAGCAGCAAAAGAAAAAAACTGTGAGATGAATACAGCTGTAATGTAAAACCACATTTGTCTTTGTCCCCTTAGTTCTATTGAAATCTTTATGAAAATATGGACCAAACTCAATTTGTGGCTACTTTTGGTAACACTTTCTGAAATAAATCTAAAAAATAAATTAATTAAAAACCAGACATACAAAACTAGTATTTTTATAAACACAATAGCAAGAAACACTACTTACAGAATCAAATTACTTTTGTAATCCTAAAAAAAAAATCAGAAGGAAGGGGCTAGTGAGATGGCTCAACGGGTGAAGGAGCTTTCCACCAAGTCTAATGATCTGAGTTCAACACCCAGGGTCTGCTTGTTGGCAGGAGAGACACACTCACAAAAGTTGTCCCCTCACTATCTCTCCCTCCCTCTTTTACTCTCTCTACATACACACACACACACACACACACACACACACACACATTTGGAAAGGTCAAAACCCTTTCCTATGTTAACTTTTACAGTTAAGTAACCTCCATACCAAACTCCAATATATAGGATTTAATTTAAGTGTGAAATTTTTGAAAAATATTCCAAATAAAAGTATGGGCATAAAAAAAATTTTCAAACTCCCAAGTGCATTCTGCCAATTCAACACAGCCCTTCCAGACAACGTTCACAGACACCCGCCCTTTCCATCCACTTCCAAACAGTGCCCAAAGCTCCCACATTACCAACACTTCCCAACAGCAGCCTCGTCCCTTCTGCAAACAACTCTAACCTCACACGTGTGACATTCCTTTGGAAATCAATAAAATTAGATCAAATATAAGCTTGTAACGTCAGCATTTGTGTCATCTGAAATGAAAGTGACTTGTGGAATTGTATCAAAGCACCCATTAAAAAAAAAGAAAAAAGAAACATTTTGCTTTTAAACCACCTAAGCAAGGCTCTTCAGTAAAGACACTTTATCTACAAAGCTCTTCCAGAAGCTTTACTTCAGGCCTCTGCAAAGATGAACTGATCTCATTTTACACACCTGAAAAGCTAGAACCCAGAAGCCACAGAGCTCCACCATGAGTAACGAAAAGAAGAAAACTACAAGCAGGAGCAACTGTTAAGGGACTTAAACTCCAGGACGTGGGCTCTGCGGCTAGCTTTAGGGAAGGGCCTGGAGGTGCCCTGAAGAGCTGGGCAGCCCAGCAGGGACACAGGAGTTAATCTCTTCGGATGCCCAACTGCAGGAAGTCATTACATCATCGGCCTTTCCTCACCTCTCTCCCTACCACGTGTCGGGTGCCCCAAGAGGCTGAAAAGGAACAGAAGAGCCTCTCCTCTTATAGGTAGAAGCCATCACGGGCCCAACCCTGCTATCAACCCCTCCCTCCTTCCCACAAAGGGAACGCTCAGGCCGGAGTCCCCAGCGCGACACCTGCCTCACAGGCTGCCTGCAGCAGCGCAGGCCTCCACCGGAGCAGCAGGTGTAGCCAAGACCCTTTTGGATGCCGAACCCGGCCTGTTCCAAGCCCCTGAGTATTTCAGAGGCTACCTGCCGGCAGGCTTGCTAGAGTGACATCTCTGAAGAACAAAGGTGTGAGGAAAGGCACGAGAGCCTGTCAGGAAACAGTCCGCAATCTTTGCTTCTTCTTTTTAATGGGATCGATTTCCCTGTCGGCGTCGACACCCACAAGCACAAGGGGGACCCAGGAATCCTCATCCGGTTTGCTAGTATCATGCACACTGCCCCCCCCACCCCTTCCCTGCACCCACACTGTCCTCCCTGTACCGTCCTTCCACTCCCTCTGTTCCAAAGTTGGCTGCGGACCTAACTCCTCCCCGCAGTCGGGGTCATCCAGCAAATACAAGTCCCGGTCCGTCCCTCGTCGGTGTCCCTTGCCCACAGCTTCCTCACCGCGGCATGCCCTAGGCTTGCCAGGGCCCTCTTCTCCCACTCGGAGGCCACCCCCAGGCTTCCTCCCTCTAGGAGTGACGAGAACCCCACAGAGCCTCACGCAGAGGCTCCTCGGCCAAGCCTCTCCCGGGCTGGCAGAAAGACCGCTTGAGCACGCGCCCGGCGCGGCGCAGGCCCAGCGGATCGGGCCAGCCCCGGCAGTACGCACCTTCCAGCCGGCGGAGCTGTTGCTGTCGCCCTTATCCTTGAAGTAGGGCACACAACGCACCATCCACTCGTAGATCTGGGACAGGGTGAGCCGTTTGTCCGGGGAGCTCTCGATGGCGCGGGTGATCAGGTCTGCGTAGGACAGGTTCCCCCAGGCGTTCCGTCGCGAGGAGCATTTCCTCGGTTGCCCGGAGCCCCCAGCCGCCCCCGGCTGCGGCGGTGGCAGCGGCTGCTGAGGCTGCAGCGGCGTCTGTGTGCCCCCGCTCAGCGCGCCCGCGGCGGGCGCGGGCCCGGACCCGAGGTCCTGCCCTCCGGGGGCCAGCAACCTGGCCGAATCCTCGAGGAGCAGCCCGGGGCCCAGCGCGCCGCTCACGCCGCCGCCGATCACCATGGCCGAGCTGGCTCGGCCGCCGCCGTCCTCGTCGTCTTCATCGTCGTCCTCCTCGGGGATCATGGAGTCCGCCGCCGTCTCCCCCGAGGGTTTGGCTGGGCTCGCCTGCAGCTCCGGCCTCTGCAGGGGCCACGTACAGGAGCGCGGTCGGCTCTGGGGCTCGAACTCCGGGTCCAGCTCCACTTCGAGCGGAGAGAGCGGCACCGGGGAGGCCGGCGCCTCTGCCATCTTCGCCGCCTGCCCGCCGCCCGCGGCTCGGGCTCTTGCGCTCTCTTCTCGCGCCCAGGCTGGGTGCGGCGGGGGAGGGCCGGGGCGCCGCGCAGGCAAGGGCTCGGGCTACCTAGGGAAGCGCGAAGTGAGAGTTGGTTATCCCGTGCGGGAGCCCAGTCCGCGGAGACTCCCAGCCCGCCGCCGCCGCCGCCGCCTCCTAGGACGGGCGGACCTGGGGACGTGCGTCCCGCGAACCTGGCGCAGCAGTCGCCGCCCCCTGGCCAGGCCGCCCGGGAGACGCGAGCGAATCGACGGGCGCGCGGGGGGCAGCCCCCTCCCCCACGACCGTCGCCCGATCGCCAGGTCTCTCCCGGGCTGGGCGGCGGGGCGCGGGGGAGGGGCGGGCGGAGCGGGGCGGCCTCCGGACCCCAGCAGCCCCGCGGCGGGCGGAGGGCGGGCGTGTGTGCGTGCGTTTGTTTATGTTTGGCTCGGGCCCGCTCAAGTGCCTCCCGCGGAAGCGCAGCCGAAAGTCCGCAGAGTCCCGGGCTCCTCTCCCCCTCCCGGGCCCTCCGATCCCCCCTGCGCACCCCTCCCACACCAGCGGCCCGAGCCTGGCGCTGGCGCAGGGCGACTCCCGTCTCTTCCTCTCCACCCGCGGAGCAGGAGGCGAGCGTGGGGTCTGGGCGCAGACTGGCTAGGGTCACTTCCAACAAGAGAGAGAGAGAGAGAGGGAGGGAGAGGGCCGACCCCGCAGGACCCGCCACTAAGAGGATCTGAGGTGTCTTTCCTTGGGGACGTGGGGCCCTCCGCCCCCTTCCAGGTCAGAAACGGGAGGGAGGAAGCAAGTGGGACCATAAATCTTCCAACAGGTCTGGAAGCGCCAAATCTCTCGGGCTGCCAGAAAACCCGGACCAGCCACGTTCATCACCTCCTTGCTCCCGCTGCTGCCATCTTGACAGTTCCCCCTTCCCTCAAGTCCTTTAAAGACACTAGCGGGAGAGGTGGGGGGGATGCACACCGAGTCACGGGGGAGGGAAAGGGAAGCGCCCGGCCCAGCTCAGAAACAGATCCGGAGTCACCGGGGAGGCGGCCGCCCCGCTGCACGGCTCCGGCGCCTACCTCGGCTCCTTCCCTTCAGGGACGAGGCGGGAGGACGCACGATCCCGCGCGAGCCCGGGGCGCCGCGCCGAGGGGACGCTCAGGCCGCCGCCGCAGCCCGCCCGAGGAACCGCCTGTCAGCCTGCGCGCCGCCGCCTTCCACATTCCTCCTCCTCCCTTCACACGAGCAGGGCGGCCGCGGCGGCAGCACAAAGTTATAGACACACGCAGCGGGCCTCAACCTAGGCTGACGGCGGGGCGGGTCCCCGCCCAGGGGGAGGGCCGGGGCGGGGGCCGGGAGGGCCGCCGTGCGTGCGTGTGGGAGTGCGCGTGTGTGCGCGCCCGCGCCTGCGCGGGGCTGCGGGGGCGGGGCCGGCCTTCGGGGGCGGGGCCGGGGGCGGGGCTCCGCCGGCTCCCCCACCCCACCCCCGCGGAGTTCCGCGGCCGCACGCCGCCGCCGCCCCGGCCCGGGACGCAGCACCGCGGCGTGCAAACCCCGGCTGGCGAAGACAGCAGCGCCTTCCACCAGGCGCCGAAAGCTGTGTGCTGGGCTCTTACCTGGGACGCCCAGCCACAGTCGTGCTCCGCTTTTTACCGATTTTTTTTAAAGGCAAATCGGGAAAAAGTGTAACTCGGGGAAGAAAAGTGCCGCGCGCCCCAGTCCGAAGCGCCGGAGCAGACACAGAACGGGAAGCGGGCGGCAGTTTTATTCTGACACAGCAGCTGTGCCCGACTTTTTAAAAGTCTTCAGGCTTCAAACGGCATCTTCACAAGCCCCGATCACACGCAGTCGGTGCCGTGCGTGCTCTCCTGCTGCACACGCGACACGTACGCCAAAAGTGTGGCGGTTCTGAGTCAAGTGTATCTTCCGAAACAGAACCCGCTCCGGTCACTGCAGACACGGTCTGCGCCCCGCAACAACCCGACTCGCGCGCGCACACACGCACAAACGGCCAGCGGCAGAGGCCGCCTAGCCTGCAACTCCGGCCTCCGGGCTTTGCGCGCGACCCGTCACTCAAGTGACGTGAGGCCCCGCCCATGCACCAAGCTAGGTGGACGCGTACAAACAGATGATGTCATCGTCTCTACACGCGCGTGACCCCGGAGCCCTGCGCCGCGTCGCCATTCGCTGCGCCGCTTCCTCGTCAAGCCACGCCGCGCGCTGACTGGCCGCCGCCGCGAGTCTCCGGGCCCCGGACGCCCCTCTCTACCCCCGCCGCCCCCGCCCCCAGCAAATAATAAACAATCGAGTAAAATCGGAAGGCCGGAGAGGGAGGGAGGGAGGGAGGGGGAGAGCCGAGGCGCTCCGGGAGACGGCGCCTGGGCGCGCGGGCGGCGGGAGGACCGCAGGGGCGGCGTGCCGGGAGGAGGGACGCTCCGCCGGGGGAAGAAAACTTGGCGGCGCCTCGGCGAGGAGAGCCTGGCAGCGGG